TCCAGCTGTGTTCTTAAACTTTCTAGATTCATGCAAAGGAGCCACGAAATAGAGTGCCATACAGCATGCATGCATGCAAGATGAGAAACCTTTGCTGAGTGCTTCCAAGAAAGGTTAACACTGTTTACTCTTGATACTTAGATACATTGTGCCTCAATTTTTATACAGATGGTTTTTCTTTGAGTAACTGCAAGTTTCTTCATTACTGAAAGCAAATGTTCTTTAACTGCCTAGGATGCTATTTCGACTCCACCGTTTGAACGTCTTCTAGGCACCTTAACCTCAGTGAATTCAGTACTAACTTCTGCATACCGAGACTTGCCCTTAATTTCCTATATGTAGTTATGACACCCAGTTGCCACAGCACAAACAGTATTTCAGAAGGTCCTGCCAATACTTTCCTAAAATCTACCTTGAATATCTCCATTTTTGTTCTGGTAGCATACTATGTTGATCATTGTAATACCTTCTCAGTTAGGTATTACACTTGCTTTTCTTCAGTATATTCCCTATGCAGCAGGTGAGGTGACCATAACAATACTCCAAATAATACCATACAACTTTACTGCATAAAACCTTTCATGTCTTCCTATCCAATTTAGAATGAGTCCCACAGTCCTGACAATGCTGCAGAAAGGCTTCCATTGTTTTTTTCTTGCTCTATATACTTTCACTACATCAGCACCTTACGACCTCCAACTCCATTCTAGCATCACATCGTTGTATAAGTGGTTTCCTTTTCATGGAAAGTACTGCCTGTCATTCTTTGACTGACTGTTACTTCCTCATCATTCAGGCCTTGGTTTTAATGTTACATTTTCAAGGAAGCATTCTTAAAGATTTGCAGGAGCAGCTATGGCCCGTGGCCCATTCAGGGCTTCTACATGTCCATTCCTTACTTGCTCTCTTCATAACTCTCATGAAGTGTAATTATTTTATGTGTATGTGTGCTTACTTTTCCTCACCTGTCTTCCGCATTAGAATGCAAGATTCCTGAGAGTGTTGTTATAGTGTCTTATCAGTTATTTATTTCTACCACCAGACACAATAGATACACATAAACTTGGAATGACTGATGGACTATGGGCTGTAGGCAAGATAGCAAATATATATTTGGTCAGTCTTCATATTCTAGAAATTCTAGTTAGCATTTCAAATACATTAGTCAACTTCTTTACAAGTAAGAATTCATAGTAAGGTTTTTTAAAGAACTAAAATTTCATGTGACTTTTGGGCTTTCTTGAGTAGATAACAGACATACACATACCAATGTTACAAGGATCTCCTGTACTCCCCTTGAAGATATAAGGCCAGACACCCCTCCAATCCGTATGTGTTCTTCATCATTTTTAATGTATTTCTTATGTGCATGAGTTTTAAACATACTTGCTTTCGTTAAGCACTTTGTGTTTTGTTAAAACATGGCAAACAACGGAATATTTTTATGTACATATTTACAGGTAATTATACTATGCTTCAACCTTAAACAACATTGTTAATTTAAAATGTCTACAGGGGGTCAATTTTCAATCATTTTCACCATTTAGTTTTTTGGTACTGGGAATCAAACTTGGGACTTTGCATTTGCCAGGCAGATGCTGTGCCACTGAGCTGTGTTCTTGGCCCACCAGTTAGTTTTTAAGAAAGAAAACTTGATAGTAATCAAAACAAGTGTTCAACTCAACCATCAATTCTGAAGATTTTTCTTATTGTTAATTTCAAGGATTTCTTGTTTCTTTTAAACTATCTATCATGCTGTATTTCTAAAAACTCTTTTTATTCTTGTTTTTTTGTGGCTTTGTGTTTTCCTAAACATCTTTATTGCTAGCTTTTCTTTCTGTTTCTTTTGCCTTCTCTTGCCCTTTACCCCTAAATTTTGGCAACACTCCACATCTCACCATTTCTTCTGCCCATTTCTATATATACTCATAGTTATGGATAAAGGTTTCATGCACATCTTATGAAAAATTCACCATGCAAGTCTCTCTGAAGTCATATAAATAGCAAGACTATAGTCTTCTTCTTTTGTTTAGATGGAGTTGCCCAGAATGGACTTGAACTCCTAAGCTCTAGTGATCCTTTAGCTTCAACCTCTTAAACAGTTGGTAGTACTCTATGTGCCACCTGATCTGGCTGAGATTGCTGAGTCAGATGATGATATATGAGTATGCACAGTCCAGTGGATGGTATTAATATTCTAAAAATTGGAAGTATAACCAGGCAGAAAAGATGTGGTGAAGAAAGGAAAGAACAGATAGTTAAGAAGGTAACTGAGGGTCTTTGAGAGGGTTGCTAACATGTAAGAAGTACAGGCTTCTCCCTTATGAAGGAATAAAAATTATTAATGCCCTTTCAAAGCTCTGAAAGCTAAAGACAAACAGAATCCAACCTAATAGTGAGAGATGTTTGCTGCAAGCCTTGCAGGAACACAGGTTGATGGAATAGGAGCTGAAATACAAGAGAAATCAGACTTAGCTGAACAGAAAAGAATCTGAGTTCCTGATACTAAAAACAGAAAATAAAGAGCACACAAAGTACCCTGAGAACACAAGAAGAATCACCCTGGAAACAAATGCACTTCAGGTCACCTGCTCAGTTCAAACATCTTTGGTAAATAATCAACTTACATTATTTCGAGGGCCAAATTACTCTCTTCATGGGTAGACTTTTCACCAATGGAAAGTTTAAAATTAAATACAAAGATGAGATAAATGCACAATATTATTACCTTCATATGAAGATTAAGATACTCAATTGTTAAAATGGTTACAATGTAGAAAATTTAGTAGTATTAGAAAATATGACAGATAACCATGAAATCTAGATTAAAAGGTAAAATTGCTTTTACGTGTCTGATATTAAATTTGAAGTTGTGATGGACCAGATCTAACAGATTACTTTGCAGCTATGGTGTGAAGTGGAAAGAGCTTTAAATATGGCAGGAGTTTTAGAAATGGAAATAAAGGATTAGATCCATGAAAAATTTAAAGAAAATTTGACTATCTTTCCTATTGAAAGTCCTTATACTAAAGGATAAAAAAAGTGATAACAAGTAGGAGTCCAGGTTACACACTTGAACTTACTGGTATAAAATTAGGGCTGTTAAGGAAACTGAGAAAACAAATCTTTGGAGAAAAATAATTGCTTAAATTTCAGTTATATATAGCTGATAAAGTTATAACTGGACTCAAGCAAATGACCTTTTTATGTTCAAGGGAACATTTTGTGTATAGAAAAAGTAGTTTATTGAATCTGAAAGTAATATTTAATTTATTAATATTAATACATTTTAAATGTAGTTTAACTCCTTCGGCCCACAAATATTTGTATTTATAAATCTGGAAAATCACATAAAATATGAGTAATTCTTGTCAAAGGATTCTTTAATTTTTGGTAAATTCAAATTCTAAAAATATTCAATAATAATATATGTGATCAATGGAAATATAGAACTACATTGGTTAATAACTGTTAATAAAGTCATCTATGTGGAAAATACGGGAAGACACCATGGAAAATCATATAGATTTTGTTTATACATAAGAGATTACCCAGAAAAGCAAAAAATGTTTGCATTTGTCACTTTTAAAAGCAGCATTACGATGAAAAGGAAATACTGTTTGATGGTAACCTTCAGTGCACATTGGAGAGAGCATATCAGAATGAGATACAAAGCATAAGTCAGGTATAAACAAGCAAAAGGACAGAAAAAGCTCCTTTGTGTTCATTATCAGCCTTTACCCTTCCTTCAGCATTTCTCTTATTCTGTATTTTCAGTGGGTAGGAGTTCTGCCAGGTTTTCCCTTCATTCTTATCCTCAACCAATTCCTTTTCCTTCTCTGTATTCAGTTTAAGATAAACTACGAGCTGGGCGTGGTGGTGCATGCCTGTAAGCTCAGCACTTGGGAGGTTAGGGGAGGAGGACCACCACAAACTCCAGGTCAGCCTGACCTAAGTAGTGAGGTTCAGTCTAAGAGAACAAAACAAAATAAAAACCTGATTATTCTCATTCACATCAACATTTCTTCTTTTAGACAATAATCTTTGGAGTAAATATGAATCGCTATAGATTGTCAAATAAATAGGATTTTTATGAGTTGCCACTAAAGTTAACAAAGACTGTATTACTGAGAGATAAGACCAGAATTTGGAAAAATTCAAGGAGGGAGATATAGAATTTCCCCAATGAGGAGTTAGTGAAGCTGAGCTGGAGCAGACTCCTTCCCACTTCTCTACCACATACCCCTTGTAGATATCTTCCCAAAAGAGTTAAAGACACGATACCATAGAGATGTATGCACATATGTTCAGAATAGCACAATTCATAATAGCTAAATCTTGGAAACAGTCTGCATATCCATCAACAGATGAATGGAAAATGAAAATGGGACTTTCAAACAATGCGATACTCCTCTGCCATAAAGAAAAATAAGCTTGAGTAATGTGTACAAAAATGGATGCACCTTGAGACTATAATATTAAGTGAAGTAAATCAGACTCACAAGCTTAAATATTCACAGTTCCTCTTATACAAAGAAAACAATATATAAATATAGTGGAAAATGACAAAATAATAGAGAAATAAAGTTACTGTTATGCACCCTAGGTAATGTATCCAAAAGTATAATTTGATTTAGAATTATTGTCTTATGTGTTTTATATGGTGGTCAGTTATTAATCTGACCAAATATCTGACCAATATATGATAATTAACTTTATAATGACTTACAAGTTAAATATATAAATCTAATGCTGGCAAAATAAAAGGAAAGTGGAGGGGAAGGGCAAATAAATAGAATTGAAAGCTTTTATGTACATAGGCCAGTTCTCTACAGTGAACGTAACCATTATGTATTACAAACATGTACTAATAAACATTTTTAAAAGCAGACAAAAGAGTAATATATGAATGTGGAAAAAATGTACAAAAGAGTGGGTCTATGGATTCTGTGAATGTTTCATCCAATGCATCAAAGGAATTAAAATTAGCTTTTGCTTACTCTCCATGGATTTCAGGTGGCGTCCCCATCCCTGTGGCCAACAGCACATGTGTGAGTAGTTACTTCAGGAACTGAGGCGGTAAAGAACTGTGGAGATACAGATGGTTCAACTGTGAGGCAGGTGGAGAGGAGTCTAGGACCACGTCAGGATTCTATTTTCCTCACATATGGTAAACAAAAACCCAAAGTGCATTTCACACTCTACTGTCAGCTTTCCTTGCTACTCATTACTCTCCATATTTACCATCATGTCATCTTACCAACTACTAACATTTTCCAGAATCTTCTGTTATTCGCATTCAAGGTTCTTGATCCTTGCATTGGTTTTGGCATAGCAAAGTGGATGCTCCTGTTTCTAATCGAGTCTTATCTACTTGTTCAGCCATAGCTAGTTGTTTCTGAGGACATGACCACATGCTATGTAGGCAAAGAGGTGTCCACATTTTTGCACGAATTGCCAACTTGTCTGTGGTACACATGCTCCATCTCTTTTACTGACCCCTGCTCCTAACTGTAAACTTCTAAAGGGTGGATAACATTTTAGATATTATTTAGATATAATTAGATAATATTAATCTGCATGGGTTCTGAAGTTGAATCCTAGAACTAAAAGAAATTTTAAAAAGAGATGAATTAATCAAAACAATACACAACTCCTCTGAGCCCCTCAATAACACACACAGCTTTCTGCTGTGGAAATTTTTCATTGTGATTTTTTATATTATTAATATTTCTACATATGTTAAAACATTAAGGACAATTTGAATTGTCCTTACCAACAATCTTGAAATCGAAGCCGGTAATACAAGGCAGAGTTGAACAAGTGAATCAGTAGATATTCAAACAACGAACAGGATAAGCTTACCAATGGGAAATCTGAATAGAAGATCATTCTGCATTTGAGGGAAAATTAAATATTTTTCAAGAAATTCAGTCCTGTTGCAAATATGTTCCTAATTTGGACTAAGTTAACCTACTTAGATTGATACATATTTGTAGAGAATATAATTGGTCACTTATTAAAGAAGGAAACTAATCATGGTTTTTAATATAATCAATGTTTCAAAAATACTTGAGCATACTTTAAAGCACCTGGTTTTTCTTAAGCAAATTAATTCTTCTATACATTTTTATAGTAAATTCTGCATAGAGCACACAGCTACATTTTTATCACATCCTCATCATACCACAAATTGTTTTATTAGAATCCATGTTAATGAGGCTTCTTTGTTTCTTGATGTCTTATTACTGTTAACAAAACACCAACATGAGTCAGTGGCCAGGACCACGCACTCACTGGTGTGTGAGTCTTACCCTGTACCACACTGCTTCCTCCACACTGAGATGGAGGAGCAGAACTTTCATCACTCGGTGCACCCTTTCCTCTTATCCCTGTAGATTCCATGTGCAGCTCATTCATAGCTCCAAATTCTGTCTTGTTTATGATCTACATATGCTTACACACTGGACTACTCCATTCACTGCTGCAAAGCAGTAGAACTTCTTGTCAGCTCTGCAGTTCTTCAACCACTGATGGGATGGGAACAATTTAGCCACTAGAGTATGGAGAAATTTAGTGGGGATGTAATTCAGGATAATAAAATGGGACTACTTTGTAAATAAATGTGCTGCATCATAATTTTCATTGCTCTTTGTCAATCTTTTAATGAACATTGAACACAGGTTGATGTTGTCTGCATTCAATTGAGATATAAAGTTGTGTAAATCAAGGTCACCTTGTCTGGCAAGGAGCGATGGTTTAATGAGAAAGACTCTGCTCATGGATAATTATCACATGAATATCAAGTCCTCCAGTGTCCACAGGATCCAGAGAAGGAAGTAACTACAGCTGCCGAAGCACCTTTTGCAGAGAAGTGGGTTTTCAAACTGCATAGTAACGTTCAACTGGGAATTCATCAAACAAATTCAGAGCAGCCTGCTCCAGAAAAAGGAACAGCTTTTGTAGAGATGTGGAGGTAGAAGCATAAAATGTTGACAAATTCACAATTAGACTGTCATCTGGAAAGTAGTATATTTAAAGGTGGCAGAAAATGAGGCCAAAAACTGGAGGGGAGGTTTCCATAGGATCCTGGGTTCCATTCTATAGCTCTGAATGTCATACTGTGTGTAATGGAAAGTCTTTTAAGAGGTTCACACGATTTAAATTTTTTAAATGTAGTGAATAAATATCTAAAACTTGGGCCTAAGGGATAAATGAAAAAAATGTAAAACATTTCATTAGTGAGATGAATGAATGATGGGTGGTTGATAAGGAGGACCTTAGGACAGAATGCATTTCAGGAAGTGGCTAAAATAGACTTACCAAGTTTGACACTCCTCTTAATTGGAGAGGATTTAGAGTGCAACATTAGCAATACATTTTATATTAAAATTCATTTCTATCCCAGCCAACTAGATAAAGGGCAAAATCATAATAGGGGAAGGAGAAAAACAAAGTAACTGAATGATGGGTTATTTAAAAACATTATAAACACACTAGGGCATTGGTATCTAAGCAGGGACCAAGGGAAAAACTCAATGTCCTTTTCTCTGTTGAAAACCTCAGGGTTGGGTGATATTCCCATGGAGGGTCAGAGTGTGGCCTTCAGAGAAAGACTGCGCCCAGAGCACCACAGGGGAAGTGGTGTCACCCTCAGAGCAGGATGCAGCACCAACAAGGACCCACCATGCCCAGCAGAAAAGAGGCTAAGAGAAAAGAGCACATTGAGGGGAACTGACTTTTCCAAATTCTTGAGGCCCTGGACTTGGGAGGGGGTGGGGAGTTATGGCATCAGCACATAGCACAAAGCATTTGGGAGGGTGTTAAAACATTCTTGAGCAAAGGTTAATGAGGACAGCCACGAACAGAACTGGGTTGTGGGGACATAATCAAAGGTTGCATAGGCCAGAAACACACACTTCTTTTTGATTCTCTAAAGGAAACTTTGATGAGCCTTTTTTGGCATTTGCTACAGGCTATCAGTGTGAGACATAATGATCAGAAGTATATGAAGGCGACCGCTGGTTTTCATTTGCAGTTGCTTAACAGAAACTTAGCTGAGATGAACAGAGGAAAAGGAGTTTCTCCATACAGGAAGGGTTGCGTCAAAGCTCAGTTTCCCCCTGGAAAGTTGGTTTCTTCCTTACAGAAGTGCTGCAATTCCCTTCAGCCCCAAGATGACCAGGCCCTGGGCAGCTGGTTTCCCAAATTATTCCTGTAAAGAGCTGTTACCTAAACAGACAACTTTCCACCGAAGCCTATCTTTTCCCCATCCTGCATTGAAAAAATTACACTTACACTCCCACCATTGCAAAAATAAAAATGGGGAAGGACATGAAAATAAACTGTCATGTACACTTTAAAAAGCAGCGTAGGATTGAAAAAAAGAAATGGAAGAGAACAGGGCAGGGGCCATGCCTTCTTCTTCTTCTTCTTTTTTACTACTTCATGGATATCCAATTCTTCTGTCCTCAGTTAAATCCACTTCTTATCCCTGGTATGTGCTATGCTGTAGAAATAGTCCCAGACTCTGGAGTATGACAGATGAAATGCATGAAGGCACCCATCTACAATGATGCAGAGTAGTCTTGTGAATGATTCAGCTGAAGTTGGCATATCCTCGAGCTATAAACTGTAGCAATAGCATACCACATGATTAGGACTGTGGTTAGATCAAGGACCCACAAAATGACCAAAAGCCACTCAGAAATTGACTATTAAATTGACAGCATTACAGAATAAAATGTTCTAATGGTGCCCACAGCAATCAGTATGTGCCTTGATAAAGTACACCCCATTGATTAATGTGCTCAGAGTCCTCTGAATCTGTACCTACATAAAAGATTATTTTCCTATTCAGTATGTAGTAACCACAGGTTTTCTGGTGAAAGCAGAGTCAAGAGTCAAACAAATTTGCTGACTCAGACAGTATTTCCAAAAAGTAATTAAATTATGGATATTAATGGATTGCCACGTCCTTAGTATATTTTAATATATATTTTGATTTGTTCAGTTGGACTAGCTGAATGTTCTATTTGAAAGGGAGCTGGAAAGACGTCTTAGTGCAAGTTCAAAACCATGTTTATTCCAAAAGAGGATATACTTTCAAAAGAGAAAGCACAAGTAGAAACACTTCAAGTAGCAAAAATGACCAAGTCACCACCAATATCAGAAAACTGCCACTTCGATTCTAGAAATTTAGTTTGATCTGGATTTTATTCATAATTCTAAGCTTTTGTGTCCTATGAAATTTCTTCCAGCCATTTATGCTGTAGCTACAATCAATACAGAGTAGCTGGACTTGTAACTTTTGTGTATGCTTTAAAATTATGTAACTATGGTATCTATGTTAATATTTTTATAAAAAGCACTGCACCAAAGTGTTTACTTGAATTCCATAGTGCAGTGACAGGCTGCTTGGTATTGGGAAGCCAAAGTATTCAGCATCTGCATAAACTCACCTGAATAAAACTCAATTTTAAAGGTTTATTTTAAGGAGGCAGATGGAGAAGTCAAAACCAGTGATAGTCTAAACATCCACCAAGACTTTATGTCAATTGACTATTCACAAATTATCTTTCAGGGTAAATCCGGGGTCATTTGTTTGTTCATCATAGCAGCAAAACAATCTTTTCAATTGGGATCAGGAAAAATGTGACATTTTCTTGTCATTTCATCACATCTCACTTCTAATTTTATATGAGTGTGTGGGGTAATTTGTTCTTGGTCCCATTAATGTGCCCATTTTTAAATAACATGGTAGGAAGAGATAGATGAAGAAAGGAGAGGACCCCATTTCTACTATATGTTCCCTTTAAGTCTTTAAACAGCATTTCTCTCTGTCCCAAGTCAGAATCTACTGTTGCTAACAGAATTTTGTAATTCCAGGAAAAAAAATGGTTTCTTATCATATTTTCATGTAGTAAAAGGAAAAGAATGGCCTAAGCAGTTGGAATACACAGTACATTTTAAAACACACTCTAATTTCTTTTAAAACAGAAGCTTTTTCATAAAAATCCTGTACTCAGATCAATCCTTTGGTGTAGTCAGATATCTATGAAGATAAGAAATTGAAAGAGTAAATAGGATCCAGAAGGTACTATCAGTATTTTGAAAGGGAAACAAACTCCTCAAAAGGAAAGAACAACTGGGATAGGGAAAAAAGAGAAAAGAAGGAAGGAAAAAATATATATATATACATGCACAAGATAGCTCAGATAACTATATTACTAATTCCATTAATTCATGGAAAGAAACTGTGAATGCTTATAATTGTTTGATCTGTTTTGCATGCCTGTATCTTATAATCTGAGCAACTATTCTGAAGATAACAATATGCAATATAGTGACCATTGTTAATTTCCTATCAGCTTGTTTTGAAATCCTATATTGATTTTACTGTGTTTTATTTTTATTGTTTTGTTTTCTCTTAATCTCTAAAATAAAAACAAGAAGTCTATGAAGGCAACCAGATATACAGGAAAAGCTGAACTCATATCAAGATACCTAAAGGTATGTAATTCATACTACCGTGGTATGGCAAGATATCATCTTTTGTAGGCCATCAAGGAATTTAAAGAGAAGCCCAATTTTCCACATGTGCCCACCAGCTGGCCACGATGCCCGGCACAGAAGCCCTGTATGTGAAGCCACAAGAGCTCACGCTGGTAGAGAATGGAGCTGCGTTCCTGTGCCTTTCTAACCTAGTAGAAGCACTGTCTCCTATAATTCTCCTCTGAGATCGGTCCAGCCACCTTCTTTTCCTCACTGTCCCCGGATTACCGTGTCCTCTTGCAGTGTTTTGTCACTTTTTCCTGTTTCCTCTACCTGGAACATTTATGGCCTCTCTGTAAAATTGTACTCACAGTTATGGGTCCAGATCAGGATATAAGCAGAATTAATTGTTCCTCCAAAATATTCTCATCTTCTTTAGTCAGTCTCAATCTCCCTCTTTTGTTTCTCTCCCATCTTTTTATACACATACACACACACAGACATGCACATACACATACTCTCCAACACTATGCACTGGATATATTCTACAATATTGAGTGTCTGCAGTACTGCTAAAACCAACATAGGCTGCACGAATCAGAACAAACTGTCTACACACACCAACTCCCATCCTCTAGCAGATTCGCAGGAATCTGGGTTTGTGTTTCTCTCCTTAGAAGTACAGGGGAATCCACCAGATGGCCGGAGGATGGCATGTGTGTCACATGGTCTCCCGCAATCAGATAAGAAGCTTTTCCACAGGTTTTTCCTAGATAATCCCATCTGTTCTTGGCTTTGGCTGAGACGGCTAAGGGCAAAGACCCTTAAGCTTCCTGGGTGCTTTTGGTGTAGTAGAAAGTGTCTGTAAATCACACTCAATCTCTTTAAAGAGGCTTTTGTGTGACTCAATAATCTTATTGTGAACATTTGCCAAAGTCTTAGCCAAAGGTTGTACAGGTATATCCTCAGTAGTACAGTTCTCTAATGGTATATTTCTTAATTTTAGTGTCTTTTATAATCTACACTACAATTTCCCAAATCACCACACCCTGGTTTTTATTTTTTTTGGTTTGTTTTCTTTGCCCCTAGATTAATATCTCATTGCATTTTATTGTAAGCAGCAAGAAAAAAACAGGCTGTACATTTAAGCCTAAAATTGTCTAGAACCATCATATCCTGTTTCCTTTTTCTTTCCTTATTTTTTTCTTCTTGCATTTTACTATAAGTAGCAAGAAGAAATCAGGCAGTGTCCTCAACACTTATTTAGAAATCTCCACATATATTGAACCAACTTCATCCTTTACAACAGCTGCTTTCCATATAAGAGTTGGACTCAATTCTGCTAAGTTTTCTGCCACTGTACATCAAGGATCTCCTTTTCTTGAGTTTGTATAAGCAAGCTCTTTGTTTCTATTTGAGTTCTTACCAATGATGCCTTTAAGAGTCATATTTACGTTAATGAGTCTCTATAATGATTTATATTTTCTTTAAAGAAATATGTCTTCTCAATCCTGCAGCTCACTCACTTCTGAAGCTTTACCAAGAGAACTACTCACACCCATATTTCTACTAACCTGTTAAATGAATGCTAAGCTTTTTCTATTGTGCTCCTGAAAAGTTGTTATAATTTTGTGTAGATCCTCCCCTGAGCCTCATGGGGTCATCTGTGGGCTTTTTCAGAGGTGTTCAGATCTAGAGTGGATCTAGATCTGTGATCTAGAGTGGATCATAATTAAATCCTGGTGCAATGCTTGGATAAGAGTGTGGGATTAATAAATCAGTCCGCTTACTTGTTTGGCACTGGCCTAATCCCAGTAGTCTAGATAGAAGAGGGACAGAAAAAAGCCACTCAGATCCCTTCCTACTTTTACTTGACTGCTTGCTGTGGACTCCTCTGCCATGCCACCCTGCCTTGGAGCCAGCCAACTATGAACTGAAACTTTTACAAATGGTAAACCAAATAAACCTTTCCTCCTGTTTTGGGATGTTGTTTCAACAATGAGAAAAGTAATTCACACAAAAGATTTCTACCTTCTTCCCACTGCGTTATAACAATATACTGCTTCCAGCTACAAAATCAGTTTTAGTGTCTGTCTATTGCTGCCACACCAAATTATCACAAATTTAGTGGGCTTGAAACAAACATACATTTTTACAGTAAACATACAGCTTTATGGGTCAGAAGTCCCATTTAAGTTTCCCAGGCCTCAAATCAAGCTGTTCCTTTCCGGAAGCCTTAAAGGAGTATCTCTTTCCTTTATTTTCTTTGTTTTAGAGGCCACCTATATTCCTTGTGTACCAGTCAGTGCTTACAAGAGAAACATACTTAAAGCAAGATCTACAAAATGTAAGAATTTACAAGATAAGCTTTCAATGGCCACCTACAGAATGTGGTGAGGAGAAGTGCAGAAAGGACTGTGGGGTTGAGGGAGAAAGAAGAAAAACAGAGAAGGAAGTGGAAGAGATACAGCGGAGAAGTTTACAAAGGCTCTTTTCAGACCAAACTCCCCACTCTTAAACATTTTCTCATGCTTAGCTGAAACATCTATAAAAATACTGTGCTCTTTTTTGCCTTGGAAGCATGTATAAGCATGCAATATATTTCCAAGCCCAATAAAAAGTATAGTAAAAATCAAAATATTTGTAATCTTTAAACTGTAGTTTCCATTTTAAAATAAATATATATGGCTCCATGAGATTTAGTGTTTGGTTTTGAAAATTCAGCTTCTACGGCAAATAGAATGTGGAAAATACATTAAAGAAATTCCTGGTTTTCAGTAGAAAGACCATTAGAAACAGTATCAAATGCTTTTTTAAAAAACCACTAACACATTACTTGACTTCATGTAAGCTACTTAACATCTCTGGTTTTCATTTATGTTAACTGATAAGCAAAGTGATTGGTCTAGAAGTAACTCGAAGTTGCTGCAAGCTCAAACATTTTATCATTCTCTGGATAAGGAGCTCTTACTACAGTGGGTTCTATAAATAAAAGATTTTTGAAATACAGCCAAGAAATGGGGAATTGAAAGTAGGACTTCAAGTTATTTGCTTGTTAACTGTGGAGTTTTAATGTGATAAGATAAGGGATGAGACTTTTCACTGTCTTAAGATGTTATTTAAAACTTCTAAGATATGGAAACTATGTGACAATGTCTGAAAATTCGGAATGGAGAAACTAAATAAATTTCTACAGGCTTCTTTAAAATGTCCAGTGACCATTACAGAGAGCTAATGTAAGCGATCCATTACAGAGAGGGGCTTCATGAACCGTTTCACGGTGCAATTTTACTATTCTTTCCAGGACTTTCAGTCCCCTGCAACCAAGTCAAGAGAACAGGGTCCAAGAGAGCTCCCCACAGGCAACAGACTGGTTCTCTGGAACAGAAGTGTTCCCCACAGACCCCATGCCTGCACCATAGTACTGGAGTTGCAGAAACATGACGTCCTGCCTTGTGGTGCTACCAGAGAAAACAAACATAAAGTTCCTAGCAGAGCTCCAGGCATCTCTTTAGTTCTTGGAGAAGATGAAGCTGGTAACATGGTTAGAGCAAATCCTCCATGTCAGACATGAGGACAACCATGGAGGAGACTGTACTTTTAAGCTTGGTTTGGAAAAGCGAGTTTCACAGCAATCAACTCAATGCTAAAGAAGGCACCTAGACTATGACAGGCTGAAAGAATCTTTCCAAACATAACGGTGCATTAACTGGGATGATGGAGCTGAAGAGGATGCCAAGCTAGAGCCTATCTGATCCTATTATGGACTTGGTACCATGAGTGTCTGTGTCGGAGGAGGATCCCATTTGGTAAGCATCACTAAAAGCTAGTATAAATTCTTTCTACAACAGAGAATACTTGCCAGCTGAGACAGCTGAGAAACAGAATGGTCACTAACTCCAAACACAGACCTTCTTTTGAATGAGTGTAGAGGAAACTACACCAGGATAGAGGGGAACAGACTGTGTACCCCATGATTCCTAACCTTGGGTCAATTTGGTGGAGAGGAAGAAGCTTGGGATTTGATAAATACTTTATAACTTCCTATTTAAATTAGACTGAATTATGGTTAACACATAACTGATTTATACTCCTTGGAAAAGGCCCAGGGTCTGCCTAGGATATCATCCAGATCCAACCAAGGACAGGATATACTTAAAGATGTAGACAGGAAATAAAAAAACATTGCCTGGTTTCACCCTATGAAGTTTGCCCATCCAATACATCATTTTTATGATTGCACTTGAATCTCTTTCCACTATTATGGTTACTTATTCAGTTTTGAGGGTATGAGAGGCAAAGGAATTCATTTTTATTCATGTGTTAAAATGTCTATTGGAGAATAAACCAATCGAATATCAATGAATATTTTCTCCACAATTCCCATGAGCTTCAAGAAAGGGAAACAAGTTGGATTGAAAAGTCTCCCTCCTTTGATGAATAATAAGGATGATGATGGAGCATTTCTAAAAATAGATTATATGTGTCTCAATTGGCATACAAAGACATTACAGAATGAGACAAAGAATGACTGTAAAAAACTTGTTTTGTTTAAATTTATTTTAATAAAAGAAAACTGGCATTTTGGTATGACGAGGGAACACTGCAAAACATTGTATTTTATAGTGCTTGATTTAGAAGCAAGGAAGAATTGGGTTACAATACATTTTGCTTAGCCTGAATACACATCAAATTGGACTTTTGCCTGAATGTATAAAGATTTATTTATAATAACTATGGCAAAGTATAGAATTTTTATATAAAATGGTGACTTTTACCTAACAATTCACCTTGGCTTTAAATATAGCTGTGATTATAAAGCCTTTCTTTCTTTCTTTCTTTCTTTCTTTCTTTCTTTCTTTCTATCTATCTTTCTTTCTCCCTCTCTTTCTTTCTCTGAGCTTCAGGCTGTGTTGTAAATTGCTATGCATGAGAGAGTTCATTTCCACAATGAGGTTCCACTATGAAAAGGCAAACACCAGCTGATGATACAAGGGCAGGAAGAAAGGCTGGGTCTGGAATGCGTGAAGGTCCACCTAGAGCGTTTTGTGCTGCTCCTTCATGGGCCTTTAAAGGGATGCCTCATCCCCTAAGGAATTCCCTGCAGGGAACTCAGGATGGGCACAGCAATGAAGAAAGTGGAAGCCTTCAGTACGCAGAGATCTCGAGGGGAGATGGGCTGTGGGGGTGTGCTTAGCTGCTTTTCAGCCTAGCAAGTGGTATTGCTAGTGAAGGTCACCTCTGTGTACTTTATCCTCTTATTCTTGACAAGAAAAACAGTATCTGAATGGAAATTGTGACATTTCTTAGCATATCCCTTCAGCTTTATTTCGTACCAAGATCTGGGTACTTTGAGTGTACACAGGAAAGAAAAACAGATGACAAAATCGATGGCATGACCGATACCTCGCTTAATATTTCTGAGCATCAGTGTTAAATCATTGTCCTCCAGTGTCTCTTTCAGCTCTGAGTTTTTATATTTTTCAATGAGATTCGTTAAAAAGAATGTAACCTAAATGTTAAAATAATACATTTATGAGGCAAATAAGACTCTCCAAGAACTATGACACAGGATTATGGAAGAGAATTTAAATTATAATTATGATTTATATCCATAGTGTATAAATGTAGCCAATAAATCCTGAGTAAATTTAGGTTACAGAGCCAGGTGTGATGACAAGTGCCTGAATCCCAGAATTTGGGAGGTGGAGGCAGAAGGATCGCTGTGAATTTGAGACCAACCTGGGCTACAAAATGAGTTCAAGGCTAGCCTGAACTGCATAGCAAGACCTTGTCTCAAAAGACCTCCCCCCAAAAAACCTAAAAAAGTAGGCTACAGAAATAATTATGTGTTGTCAGAGAATAATAATATAATCTAACAATTTAGTGTTCTTATATGATGCAGATTATATTTAATTATAATTGCAAATTATATTTAATGATAATTATTATAATTACATTTGGTGGAATGATAATATAGAATAACTTAACTACAGTTTGTGTACTATTAAAAGCTTGAAGTCTTTTCGGTCTGTATATACTTGTGTGTGTGTGTGTGTGTGTGTGTGTGTGTGTGTGTGTGTGTACGTTAAATAAAATATACATTCTTGGTATCCAGGTAAAAAGACATTTTTCGAATTTCAGTGAAAATAAGAGATGTTACAAGAGAACACCAAATGAAACATAATGAATAGAGACATAGATTTGATCATGAATTTCACATATTCCAAAGTGAATTATAGGCAAATTGATATGTGGTATTTAGATGACCTGTCCTAGACTATATTGCCTTTCTTCCAAAATTCAGCTTTATCTGCCTATGTGAAAAGAAAGCCAAACTAAGCATTTCCAGAAAACAGAAATACAGTAAGTTCAGCTGAATGAGCAGGACACTGTCTCACCAAGAGCAGATGCTCAGTGAAATGCTGATCAGTTGCCTAAGGCGCTAAACCCATCCTGTTGCTTTTTGCTTTTGTCTCTTCAGTGTCTTACAAACTGTCAGAGTCTCAAGTGACCAGCAGACACTTCAAGTAGTGGCTAGGAAACATCAAACCCTTCTTGATCAATATCTGGGTATTGTAGAATTCAGAAGAGCAGATAATGTATAAGCCACTTTTCTGTGGGGATTCCTTTCTGTTCTGAATTGTCTCCTCTATGGTGACAATGACTCTACTTGCTGCCTGTCTTACTACTTTGACTCTTTACTACTGATCCCACCAATTGTGTCCATACAGCATTTTACTTGTCTTCCCTAGTCACTATCATTTGAGAAATATACTTGTAGATAATCTCTAAAATTCCTGTTCAGTCTAAGTGTTGCAGTAACTTATAATCTAGGGAAGGGCTGGACTCTTTGGAATGATTCATACCACCATGGAAGAACTAAAGATGGTTGGGGAGTGGGTGGGTCAGATATAAAGATGACATTTTCAGCAGAATATAGTTCATTAACAGGTTAATTTCAAAGCAAAACAGGCTTGAGTCCAACAGCTGCAGTACAAGGGAGAATGGATGAGTTTTTCTTGTTGCACACTTTAAAGTAATGAATATTAGAATTGGCATGAGGCATTTTGGATGTTTTGATTAAGAAACTGAATCCCTGAAGCCAAAATTACCTTGGAATGGAATTGCCTAACTAAAAGTAAATTAAATAGGGATGCTGCAGTAAAAAAAATTGTGGGTCAGATGCTGTGAGTCTTATAAAACATGTAGTTCTTCAAGCTAAGCTTGAGACACTGCACAGATGGTTTCCTGAAAAATAAAAACAGATCAACAAACTTCTCCATTTATACATTCCACACAAATGTTTCTTTTTATTTTTCTGAGATCTCAGGGGTATGGCTCAAAAGCAGATAGGTATAGTAGCAGTAGGAGGAGAGATCAAGTAGCTGAACTCAGTGGAGGAGGATGATTTGGGAAGAAGTCACAAGAATGTCACTGCTGAAATGACCTTCCTGAAAGACAATAACTGGTCTCAAAGCATTTTAACATGAGTCTAGAATTTGTAATTTATTCCATAAGCATTTTTATACAATGACCAAAGTGTTTCAGTGAGCACTGTCTTAGTTACTTTTCTCATTGCTGACACAAAATACCCACACCCACAAGTTAAGAGAGGAAAGGTATATTTAGCTCACAGTTTGTAGAGGTTGCAGCCCACAGTTAGCTGACTTCAAGGCAGGATGAACTGGCTAGAGGGCAACAGTTCATGGTGGTGGAAAACAACAAAAGCAACGGGAGAGCAAACGGAGAGAACAAGCCTCTTTCTACATCGTTTATCTGATCTGGACCGATGGGATTAGGGTGGTGCTAATCCAATCAATGGACTGATTCACAATCACACAATCTTAATCCCAGCATTACACTATGAATCAGACACCAGCTCTAGATTCAACTATCTCTAAAAAAGCCTGCCCCTTATGACTGCATGGGGCAAAATCTAGACACAAGCCATAACAGGTACCCTCTACTGTTATTTCTTTTCTGTGTGTACATGTGTGCATGTGTGTGTCTGTGTGTACGGGACTCAGGTGTGACCACCAACATTCACATGTGATATTCACACACATGCATGCCTTAATATTTTTACAACTTCATGGTAGTGAGCTTTAATTGGTTGAACTAGGTAATATTATATATTCAATATTTAGACACATGATTTTTTTTTAACATTTGCCACAGGGATTTATTTCTAGGCCTACGTTAACAGTTTAACCAGACACTATAATTCTTGAGGATCTTGGATCCCTGAATCCATAATGATATGTGATCACAGTGAAAGTGCCATTTATCAATTTCTACTATTGAAAAATGCTCAGTTATGAATCTGCATGCCTACTTCCCCCAGCTGCACAATCCTGGATTGGATAATTAACTTCTCTATGAAGACAGATTTAGATATCTATAAATCAAAGGATTTAAACCAAATCATTTTTTCCTGACATCCTAAGCTTCATCAGAGATATCTCATGTGTCACTTTGGGGTCTAGGAGGCTGACTACTGCTCACAGGAGCAGTTCTGCTTCTGTCTGTCACATACTATATATTAGAATTCTGCCAATAATGTCATGGGACAAGATTTATTATTATAAAGGAAATGTATAACAACCCAGACCTAAAATTATGAAAGGTGCTAAGCTTTCCTAGCTATCTGCATTGTTTGGGTTCCTAACAGATGAAGTACTGCAACATACTAATGTTACGAAAGCAACAAGCTATAAAAATCATCTGATGAATAACTTTCTGTGCTGCTAGTGTTTGTTACTGCTTATGGGTAAACCCCTTTAGATATTCCTCTCAATGTTAGACCCTCAGGAACTATAAGATCTATGCCAAATAATTTTCCCATCCCATCCTGCCTGTCCTTGCTGCTATCGTTAGGACTGTTGTATTCAGGGTTTACAGAGAAAAGATGACACATAATTTATAGAACTATTTTATAACATTATCCCAAAGAGTCAAATGTAAATGAGTGCAGGAATTCTGTCCATACACTAGAAACCTGAAAAATCTGTCCAAGAGCCTGGCTTGCATGGCAGTGTTCTGCACAGTCCAGCTGAAGATCTAGAGCCCATCGTGATGTCCTGAATGAATCCATCTGGAGATCTGGAGCCCACCACAATTTGTCATGCAAGTCTATGTCAAGGATTGGTACTTAGAAGGCCCAAAGGTCAGTTGTGGAAGCTAGAAAGTTTGCACCAGTGGGATGAAGGATCTGTGCCAGCAGGCTGAGGAATCTGCACCAAAGCTAGGAAGCGATGCTCAAGGTGAGGACCAGAGCTCCCTCACAGAGGACCACTGCAGCCATCTTCAGTGGCTGCAAGGTCCTGACCTCCGCTGACAATGACAATAGTGGAGTTCATATCAGGAAAATCAGTGTGGCAGGCTTCCCCAGGACAATCAACAGCACCATCTTCCCCTCCAGTTCTCTTTTTATGCTGTTGGCAACAATCCTCAGGCGAGCCTTCCACACCCAGAACCACGCTGACCTACTTCAGCTGGGTGTTCCAAGCTGCTCACCAGCTATCAGTCATCTACAAGGGTACTACTTGATCCTTTCAATCTTCCCTACTCTATATCTGAGTGTCATAAATAACTCATGATTCTAGGATCTGAATGTTACATTTGACAGAAAGGCTTCAACGTCAAGAGTCTAGAGAACACTCTGTGTTCTTCATTTCTATTACCTCTTCCTAGTTATAACTTTAAGAAACATGTTAACAAGGTCATTTTGTTTTAATGAACATACCATTTCAACAATACTTTGGAGGAATGATAGCTTATTCAACAAGTGGGGTAGGGAGACTTTTTCTGTGTGCAGAAGACTGAAACTAGACCCTGATCTCTTATGGTATACTAAATTAAAATAGAAGTGGAACAAAAACCTAAAACAGAAACTTTAAACCTTCTGTAAGATAAAATAGCTAAAACACTTCAAGACATAAGTGTAGGAAAAGACTTTCTAAAAAGAACCTCAATTGCACAAGAAATAACAGCAAGGATAAACAAATGGGATTATATCAGACTAAAATGCTTCTGAACAGCAAAATTATCAGTTAGTAGAGTGAAGAGACAGCCTACAGAAGGGGAAACATTTTTCCCCATTACTACTACACTCCTCTGACAAGAGAATTAATATCTAGAATATACAAAGAACTAAAAAAAAAATTAAACCACTTAAACTTAAAGACCCAGTCTGAAAATGGCCATGAGGAATGAACAGACACTTCACAGTGGAAGAAGTATAGATGGTCAAAAAATATATGAATAAACATTCAACATCTCTGACCATTAAAGTGTACAAATGAAAACAATGCATCTTACTCGGGAAAGAATGGCAATCATTAAAAATCAAACAATAACAAATGCTGGTGAGACCATGGTGAAAAAGGAACCCTACTATAATGTTGTTGGGAATGTAGACTGGTATAATCATCATAGAAATCAGTATGGAGATTTCTCAAAGAACTGAAATTAGAAATTTCATAGGACCCAAAGAGCCTAAGATATCACACTACAGTGATACAATCATATCCATGTTTATAGTGAACAGCTGAATTCTAGAAGTAGATGCATAACAATCAGCAGATGCCTAGATGAAGGAAATTTGGTATCTGTATATAATGGAATACTACTCAGCTCTAAAGAAGAGCAAATTTGAGACAATTGTAAGAAAATAGGTAGATCTGGAAAATACAATGTTGAGTGAAATAAACTGGAACACAGGCTTACAAACTGTATGGCACCTCGCATTTGAGTGAAGTAAAGTACAAAAAGAATAATAAAAGATAGATAGAAAAAGACAAGGGGATGGATTTTTTGCAATACAGAAGAGGTCCAGGGAAATAAGGGTGAAACATGAGGAGGAGAAGGGAAAATAATTAGAATAAAAATGATCCCTCTACAGGAACCTAATAACCTCAATAGCCGTAAACATTATATGTCATAACATGAACTAAGATTAATAATATTAACAGGAATGAAAATCAAGAGAGAGCAATTAAGGGGAGAGGGGAAGGAGATTAAAAAAAGAAATAAGCTGTGGTATGTACAGATGCCCACTGGCCAAGAGGACTAAACTGCATGTATTAATAAAACATTTTAAAAATTAACAGAAATATTTGATTAGCCTAATGAAACAAAGTATAAGAATTTGAACTGTGCTCTGAGTTTTTAGTAATGGGGACTGGAAGTTATTGTCATCTCCAATTAATGATGATTATTTCATGAAAAGGGAAAATATGGTTAAAAATTCCATTTAAAACTCATCTAAACCTTGGTGTGAAGATATGCAATTCTTTTCCAGTAATCTGGGAGGCTGAGTCATGACTCGGTAAGTTCAAGCCCAGACTGGGCAACTCAGTGACTTAGCAAGAGCCTGCTTCAAAATAGAAAGGGAAAAAAGGGTTGGGGATGTGGAGGCCTTGAGTTCAATCCATATACATAGATACGAGAGACCCCACCAAAAAATGTATATACACTTCCACAATTTGCTGTTCTAATTAAGTTAACTTGTATTAATCTCATGATGAGTCAATACATTTAGTTATTAAAACATTTATGCAAGCTTCTCTTTTCCTGATATATACATTTTTGGCAGACTCATATATATGAATAACAAAATATAAATATAAAACACAAATAATGAAAACATTCCCATTTCAATATTTCAGTGAGATGTAATAAGTCTGTTTCTGGGGTGATAAAGTATAAAGCTACTTACTTTAATAGTGTTCTGTGGCGCGTGCTGATTTTATTTTTGGGTTATTTTTATAATAGAAATGCTGAATTGACATCCAAAGAATAATTGAAGTGAATTCACCAGGAATCGTAATTTACAAGGAATTATACATAACCCGCAACACAACACGCCAAGCAAAGGAAGAACAGGAAAAGCAAGATGTTCAGTCCTGACGTGAGTGTGGTAGGGAGCTGTGAGGACGCTGATCCCTGCTGCTCCTGTTCTAAGACCCCAGGTAAGAGTTACACTTGTCCTTTAATTCCATTGATTTCCTAGCCAGCGCTCAAGCAAAGGCACAGGTGAGTAAGACGGTTGTCAGAGCTTGTGATCTTGCGACAGCAATCAACCTGTTTCAAATGCTCTAGCATAGTGCTTTCAGTTCATTTTTGGCTTTTATAGATTTAATCTTGACAGTTTTGAGGACCCTCACAAGTAACTTAAAGCCAATGCTATGTAGCAACCTGTCATTTTGTAAAGGAATAATTTCGAATCTCATGCTCCAAAGCATAATATGCGAGGGGGAGTCACTTAGCGAATGAGTGGGCCTAGGTTTTCTCTAAAAACCCACACTTCAAAGTGGCTATTATTGTTCCATACTTTTGCTACCTTTAGAATACTGTAACTCTTTGATGGTAAAATTTATATTATGCTTGAACAGAAAAGCTTCTAGTTCAGAGATGAAAATGAAAAGAAAATAACATGTCAGAGTAATGGCTCTTAGGCAGAAACCGAAAAAGTTTGAAGAGTGAGAAGTTGTATTACAAATGCCTACGTATGAAAACTTTAAAGAGATCATTGATTTCTAGGGGTCCAGGAGCAGGAGTAGAAAGGGAAAAGATCAATAAGTGAAGCATAGGACATGATGGATATGTAAACATCAAGTGTATGTCAGAAGCCTTAGAATGAGCAAAAGAAAGAAAGAATCTTAATGTAAGGTATGGACTTCAGTTAATAAAAATACACCAGTATTGGGTAATCACTCCTAACAATTGCTCGGCACCAAAGCAAGATGTTTGTAGGTAATCTGTGTTGCTATGCTTTATATCTAGATGTCCCCGGGAGCCTTGCACATCCACAGATGGGACGTTTTGAAGAGCATTGGACCATGGAGGTGCTAGAGCTGACTTGCTATTAGGAGGCAGAACTTGGCTAGAGGACTTGGAAGGTTATCTCTCTTTCCCCAAGGCCTCCTCTCTTTCTTTGCTTCCTGACATCCATTATTCTGAGCATGTTTCCTTCACTGTCTTCTCTCCTGCATGCTGTTTTTGTCCTGGATCCAGCTGACTATGGACTGTAACCATGATCCAAAAAGGAAAACCTCGCTGCCTTTTAAATTGTTGGTGTCAGTATTATATCACAGCAATGAGAAAGTGACTAAGGCATGCATGTGTGGGGGCACATAGCAACAGTGCCCTTCTGTGCTGTTTTTCTACCAACCTAAAACTGCTCCAAAAATAAAGCCTATTACTTTTTTAAAAGATCATATTAGGAGGTGGCTCCTTCCTCCTGTTCTTCAAGTTCCATATAATAAGAACAGTAACACGAATTCTGCAGAAACAGGAAAAACAACCCAAGAAAGCATTATAATGAGTTCTACTCACTTATCAAGTGAGAAATGAAATGCTCATTAGAATTGAATAAGAACTTGTGTATAAGAACTTACATGAAAAACATCACCAAACCACCTTTTAACTGAAAAGTGATCTCAGAAAAGCCAAAAAGCCTGTATACAGTTTTGTATGAAGCAATCAGTGAGACTATTAGCTGACCTTTTCATGGAAAATTTAGGAAGTATTTAAGGAAGTGCTTCATGCTGCGAAATTAAGAGAAGAAGATCATTTAGCTGCAAAAACATGTTGAGAGAGAGAGAGAGAGAGAGAGAGAGAGAGAGAGAGAGAGAGAATGATGTACGTTAAAGGAAGATGCCCTTGCAATTGCACAGACAGAAGTGAAGCTTTTGGATCTAAGAAGGTCTATTTCCTCTGCTGGCACACAGAGATGATGAGCTATCAAAGTCCCCTGCCAGAGCTACTCTGCCCAAACTTTCTGTTTCTATGTGATTCATTTCATCCTTGCCTCTGTCTACACATTCGTACATATCATCATCATTGTTGCTGATTTAGGCTACTGGCAAAAGAATAGAATGTTCAATAGCATGTAGCTTGTTTTGTGCCAGCTTTATTTTCCTAGTTATATACACACAAATAAATGTAAGCTTACATGACTAGAATTGTTAAGGGTCTGAAGAATTCAGTTAAATTTGTCCAAAGGTTGTTAACTCTTGTGTGAAAAGCGTGAGTCAAATGTTCCTTGCACCGACTCATTTGAAGCTTCTAAAAGCCTCAGGAATGCTCCTTCATAAGTGGAAGATCTACTTTAACTTGAAGGAGGTGGCAACATTCAATGTCCTTTTGGAAGGAAAGTGAAAGACTGTATTGGTTTACAGAATACAGGCTTGGATGATGAAGCTAAATGAACACAAGCAATGTAAGTGGAAGCCAAATGACAAAAATGAAGAGAAAATATAATAGCAATTCAGGCTAATATCCTCTTCACTTTAAAAATCAAGTAAGATTCCAGAGAGGCAAGGCTGCTTATAATGGCAGTACAGCATATGAGAAAAAACATGTTTCTAACTTAAAATATAACTAAACAGACACTATAAATACTGACAACTTGTATTTCTTAGTCTTATCATAGATCCTGGTTGGGCTATGTATGTTACTGAGAAAATTAACTACGTGACATAGCAATAATATTAAAGGCATCACTTTGCAAAGCACCACATAAACATTGCCTTGAAAACGGGGTGGTTGCTAGGAAATTCTGTTAAGTACAATTCTCTCCAGTTGTATTCTATTTTTCCATTTTATACCTTCTTCAATCATTAGGGCTTAACCCCTCCAGAAATGTACATAAGCATAGCTTGCATACCTCCACAGATGCGAATTTTCCAGGGGTTCTATTCAGTCCTTGGAAACGGGTAGGTGTCGGCGGTTAGGCCTTGGACATGGCCAGCTATTCTGCAGAAGGGCACCACGTGGGCTGTTTAACCACATGGAGGCTTGTACATGACAGAGAAGAAGGAACTGAGTTCTTGTAGAAATTTGTATTTTCTTCTTCTATGTCAATGGATGCATCAAGAGGGAAAAGGCTCCAGGGCCAGCCAAATCAAGTGATTTGAGTTATTTTAAGAAGAAGCAATTCATTGTACTGGTTGCCAAACTGAAAATGCCTGGACAGCTTGTTCAAAGAGCCAGCAGAAAGAGGAGAGCATGCCAGAAATTAAAGCCCAGAAGCCTGGGAGAGTGGGGCAGCTCCCCTCTTATGAATTAGCAGTTCATTAGTGCTATTCACCAGAGGGCTGAGAAAACCACAGAAACTTCTGTCACAGTTTAATTCCTAAAATGTCCCTTTCATTCATTCTAAACATATACTAGTGGTGGGTCCTTGATTCACCGATACAGATAGGAGCAGATATCACAGGAAACCAGTACATGGGAAGGGGTAGATTTTTTCCCTTCCCTCTATACAAATAGCTACTATATGTACTGGGCTTTACAGAACTTGAAGAATTTTTTTGCTTTCATCATTTTATTAAATGTCCTGTCACTTTATAAGATGGCATGATTTTCCCACTTATAGGCTCAGAAAAATCATGACTGGTCAAATGTAGCATATATTACAAATGGCCCAGCAAGAATGTAAAAATCCAAGTTAAATATATTGAAAATGAAATCAAAATTGCATGTCTCATCCATGCAGAAAGGACTTTATCAGTTACAACAGTAACAGGCTGCATGTCTATTAAGGGGGCACAGTGCTAGGTATTCTGTATCTTGTAAGTGAAAAAAGAAGCATTGACTTCCGATTAGGGCCAAGCCACAAAATGGATAAACGTAACATGAGAATGATTTTTCAAGAGCCACAGAACCTGCAAAAGACAATGAAAATGAAATTTTAAAAGAAAGTTTTAATTTCATTCAACTGTAAATAAAAATGTCTCTGCCAAGTGGCAACAGGCGAATCCAGCCTCTCACTGGATAGGTTCGGTTCCACATTCAGAGTCATGGCTATTAAGGGGCTGAGATTCCTATTTTATAAATCAGTCATTACCAATGGACTCACTTTAACACCTGAAATTTAAATTAATGAGTATCCTCATTAATTACAAATGAATATCAGTGAATAAAAGGCTATTTTATTTACATATTTGATGCCTCACGTAGCAAAAATGTATAATGGGATAAGTGCCATTACCATTTTTGGAACAAATTTACCAAAACCAAACATTAAAATTATGTTTGATACACATACCCCTGGTCATGTTAAATAAGATCCATTTAAGCTTAACATCAGTATAAACATATGGTCAAATGTTCAGAAAAACAGACTTGTCATGAGATATTTCCTGTTTCTAGGCTTGTAAAGGACAAGACACTGTCAGGTGGCAGCCAAAAGGGATAGATATTGATGAATAAACTCAACTATCTTAATATATTTTACCTTATAGCACTGAACCTCATTTCCTGGTACGTACTTGCCTTTAGGGAAAGGGAAATGAGTTTTGCATTTGAAAACAGAACATTTTACTAGATGCAGACAGCACAGGTTATGAGCCCAGAATCCTGTTTTATATATCCCATTCGGCCCTCTGCTTCCAACTGCACTTAATAAACAGGTATTTGCACTTTTATCAGTCCATTTTCATACTTAGAGTCATCTCTTTAAGGACTTACAACTTATGAAATATCTATATCTAATATAATCTCAGTTGTTACGAGACTATGTTAGAGAATTTTCAGTTTTTTCTCTGAAAGCGTTCTAGTAAATGTCTGCTTGAGAAAATTTAATGTTGGAGTACATTAGTGGGGATTTTGCACGGTCCTCCTTAACACTGAGTTCCTAAGAAAATGCCATGTCATATAAATGTTGAGATGTCCTTCGTTACTGAAATAAGTAATATTTTGTCTTTCTTACCTAGCTCTCACTTCCACATATTTAAGTAGTTTTTCAATAGAGAAAAGAAAATTAAATTTGTCATTTGTGTGCGTCTGAACCACTGTTCTGAGGGGGAAAAAAGCATCATGGTGTTTGTGCAAGTTTCTGCATTTATTGCTTGGAACACTGTGGTTGGAGCACTGTGATTCTCTGTGTTATAGTGTTTCTGTGTCATTTTCTCTTTCTTTTTCTCTCTTGCCTTTAGTGTGCAGTCATGTGGAGGTATATTACCCAGGAGCACTGAGGTAGATTTCATGGGTGAGAAAATCTCACAGGGTGAACACAATAAGAATTTGCAAAGTGAGATGAGTACAGAGTCCGCTGGCTTGTACCTCATTTCCTTTCTTACACATGCACTGCTTTTATGGAGCCCTGACTATCTGGTATACTGTGCAGACACTGCTGCACCACAAGAATCACACAGGAATCCGACTTTCAAGCTGCTGCCTTACCAAGGCACTGTGACATGCATGCCACAGTAATCTAAAATGCTGTGCTATAAGTGCTAAAGAAAAGGTGCAAAAAGTTTCAGGAGGACGTCATTCCTGCAACTTGAGAGGAGTAAAAACAACCTTTGTGAAGGACACTGTATTTGAGTTAAGCCTTAAAGGACAGCAGAAATATTCCTTTTACCTGATGCCATTTCACCTCTGTTTTCACCTTTCAAAGTTCAACCCATCCCTTCAAGATTAAGCACAGACCAGTGGCAGTGAATCTTTCAGAGCTTCATTCATGAGGCCCGCTGCAGCATGTGTGCCATAGGTTTGCCACCATTGGTGTAGCCTCTTGCTCACGTGGAAGGTCATTCTAGATGCCACAGAGGACCTGTGTATATTTTCCTTAGAATCAGAATCACTCTGTACTCATGTTGTTAATCACACTCTTACTTATACTTTGTGCATTTTATGATTGACTCTTCCATATGGCTAACTCTTAGCTTTTCACAGCTCCAACAGCATTTAGCATGGCTTGTATTAAACGTCCCTAATGGATCTGAATGACAAATAAATGAATTCATCTGCCCTTCTTTTCATTATGTTCACTGGATATGACATCCCTTGCTAATTTTTCTTGCAAAAGAATAACACAAGCAATTGTTTCCCCATCTTTCTCAACATTTAGGGAAAATACACTGAGAAGATTCACTTTATACACAATGAAAACTGGACTCACAGTCCAGTTTATACTCTTCATGTTGGTTTCTTACAGGGTTATATAGTCCCATGAGGAGGAAAATTAATCTAAAAACCCTGTTGCTATTTTATTATGCTGCTTCCCATGATTGATAAACCTGTAAGCCTTGACATAGTTATGTTATGGAACTTGATTTTCAGTTTAAATGACTGTTTACATCTGAAATGTACCCTCCCAATTTTGCCTTAGGTAAAACTGTTTACTAATATGGAGTTTTTAAAAGGTGGGTTATATGCAGAACTTTAAATGACATAAGTAAATGAGGATGATTGTTGACATCTACCAAATTAAATATACTTGCAGCCAGTTCACCGGTGGTAAGAATATAAATCAGATAGCAAGATTAATTTAATTTGCAAATCCTTAAGGCCAAAATAAATATTGGAATTAAATATTCTAGTTTATTTAATAATTTTGAGTCCTGGAGTAAATAACTAATTTTTTTTTGTATAATAACTACTTCCTTTGACAGAGTATTAGAACATGTAAACAAGTTATTTTATAAATTAAAATTATTTGCAAAATTTCATTTTTTTCCTTCAGAAAAAGACTATAACACTAGAGTTTTGTTTTTAAATCAAGACTTGAAGCAGAGAGAGAGGGATTCATTTGCTTTTCATTTAGCCTTAAGCCATCCATATATCCATCAAGCCATCTACCCACCCACCCATCCACCTACCCACT